TTCAGATATAGTGAGGAAAAAATTTACATCATCTCTGCAAGAATAATCAATAATTTATGAATGGATGATTCGAAAATATAAACAGCAAATGAATATACAAGGAAACGCCAAATGTTTTTTTAAGATTGCAAAGCTGATTTCAACGCTACACTAAGTTAACTTTTGGTGATTCGATTATATCAATAGTCAACTTTTACGCAATACTTTTAAAATATTTCAAAATCTTGAAACTTTCGTAACCTCTGTTTTAGGAAAAATATTTTAAGACTAAAATATTTTCTGAATACTAAATTAAAAATTTGAATTTTCAAAGTAAAATTTTCTTTAATTTAAAATACAAATTAAATGATTTTATTTTTTGTTTTCACAACATTAATCTTGTTATAAATTTCACGTTAAAGTTAGATCAAAAATTCAATAATTTCCTTATATTTTTGAAAACTCTATAATCTTTAAAGAAGAAAAAACAAAAATATTAAAACCTCATCTTAATTTATGTATAATAGTCAAAATATTTGCACAAATTCTGCAAAATGGTATTACAAAAATAAAAATAAGCAAGAGGAATTTGTATCTAAGGTATATCGAAAATACTTAATGTACTTAATCCTAGTTACCCTTTTTGGTTAAATTATTTCAATTCATTTTCATTCATATCTCCTTCTATATAGCTATATTTTTTCCCCCTCTGCAATAACACGTTATCCAAAAGGAGCTGTTTTTAATTCTCTTTGTTTTTTTTTTTTGTTGTTTTGGGGGGAATTTCTAATTTTAAGGGTAAAATTTTATCAGTCCATTGAAGAAGAAATCATGAATTTCTATACATTTATGTATAGTTTGCATATACAATTAAATACCTATGTATTATCTATTATATAGTGTGTATGAATGTACAAAATATCTGTGTTTAATGTGTGCTTATAACCCTTGGCTTTTCAATTGAAAATGTCCGAGAAAATAACGAAAAAATAAAAAAAAAAGATCTTAGGTTTGATTATTTATTAAAAAGTTTGTTAAGAAAAGGGGGGACATTGAGAAATTCTTTTGTTAAGGTATTTTCAGTTTTCGTTTTTCTCTCATTTTAAGAAGTGTACTTTTGTTAATGGGCATAAATTGAAAGAACAAGGATGTACCTATACAAGAGAAAACAAAAAATAAAAAATGTATAAATATTTTTATTCAAATGTGTGTAAAACCAACCCATATAATTTGTAACTCCAACTTCTATTTAACCCGGGTAATGTTGAAAATGTCTACGGAATTTTAAATAAAATTGTGGGATTCATAAGAGATCTAATAATAGAAATGTACATAATAATAATAAATGAAAATAAAAGTTCATACCTATACGTTTTTTTTTTTTTGAATAGCATTGCAATATCTATTTCAGATGCGAATATTGATCGGAATTAGGATGATGGGGTTCTACGTCTTAAAGATTATGGTATTTGTTTTTGGGATTTTATGACTCGTTTTTAATGGCGGCTATGGTACTTGTTTGAATAACATATTCTTTGTATAATATTAATTTCCATTAAAATAATACTTTTTCTAGCATAAAATATTGGAACACAATAATAATGTAGTAATTATGGTATAATATCAATCTAGAAGTAGTTTCGCTTTTCTTCCAGAAATCTAAATTTAATATTATAATTTTTGGTTAGATACACCATCATACAAAAAACTTCTGTCGCAACAAAATTTAAAAACTTTTACATTTTTTGAGTTACAAAACCTGTACACCCTTTGAGATTGAAAGTTGAAATTTTTTACATGAAATTTTTAGTAGAAATTATCAATAAAATTCTTTTTGTTATGCATGGGATTTAATCTTTCTAGAGAAACATTGTTGGCTTATTTGCATACTACAATGATCAAATCTATATTTATAATTCTACTTTAAATGAAATTACGGAGGATTATTTATATTGTTAACTGATGCTACGAGTATTCAACAAATCTCTCTATCCTTGTGAAGAATTCATGTTTTAGATTAACTCGCTTCAACATTCTATTTGCCAAAATAACGCGCATTTTGTCAATTAACTGGAAATTATTCTGTTCAAAAAATTAAATTTCCATTATAATATTGCACTTTATTATGAAATACAGGCATAAACGGATGTGAAAAATAAGCGTATACATATGTAGATTTATAATTAGATCTATTTATAAGTATATTGAAGATAAGTATATTGAACATCTTTAAATTGATCTTCAGTAAATAAATCGAAATAGAAATGTCTTAAGTGGTAAATTTATTATGAATTAACTGACTACTATAAAAAGTTTTTTGTTTCATACAATTATGTAATTTTGATTTTGTAAATTACGCCAGTTAGTAGGCCTAACTACAAAAAAATTATTTTAAAAAATGAAAAGTAAATTTAATTTACAGTAAACTAATCTTATGAGCTTGAAAATAATTTTCTTGAAATTGTGACGTATGTTAAAACTAACGTACATATGTACTTTATACTAACATATATACTCCATATATATTAGGTCAATTCAAGGTACACGAATTGACTGTATAATCAGATTTAAATTTAAAAAACAATATTTTCAAGCCTATACAATGTAATTATGTATACATTTCTGTTGATACACATTTTGTCTTCATTGAAATTAAAAGTAAATGCTTAGAATATTATTTTGTCTCCTCCCGCATCTTCCAATTGAATTCAATTTAATTTCAACTATATAAATGAAAATTTTTAGACTAGACCCAATTAAAGTAAACAAAGGACAAATATAATAAAAATGGTTCATAAAATCATTTTATGAAAATGGGGATCTCATCGGTACATTAAGCAACCCTAACTAAATATCTCCTTAAATGATATGATTTCAATGCTTATGATTTCCGTTTTCTGCTTTATGATTTTTTTGGATATGAAAATTTTTGTCGTTATGACTAAAATCATTAGCAAAAATATTAATACCATTTTTATTTCTATTCATTGATATGAATATATGTATATATGTGCCAGGGTATTCCTATACACAAGAAGTGTATTTTACATCCAAAGTTTTTTCGATTATCGAAAATTTATAATGTTCTGGAAACAGTACAGTTTTAAAAATTTTCCTGGAAATATATTTGAACAAAATTTTTAAAGCGAAATAACACATTCGTAAATATTCCGCTGCAGTAGTACACACTGCTTCTGAAAATAATTTAGACTTTGGCAAATGATCTTGTAGGGCTCGTATTTGAAGATAAATCTCGCTATTTTTCGAACAACTTTATAAATTTGTAAACTTTTGACGACTAACTATAAATTGAATGTCATTGAAATTGAAAACTCTTGAAATTGAATGTTATTCTGACACTGGTATAGTTTTGAAATTGAAAAGTAACCGCCCTGTGGGACAAAAATAAATGGTGTGTGTAAATGTAAATTTATAGTATTGTTACAATTGTATTTTTTATGTCAATTCTTTTGCTTTGTTATGTAAATGTTAACTTGTAAAACAAATAATTAAGGAAACATGGTTATATACTGTTAATATACGTTTGCGATTGTATATAGTACGTAATACATATTGACATATTCCCATATTTATGATATTATAGATAAAAATCTACATATTATAATAAAGACAATATAAGCCCGTAATCGAAAACCTTTAAACCATTCATCGCTTTGTAATATCTTGTATAATGATATTCAATTCGTAAAAATAATTATTGTTATTGTCACAATGTGACGTTATGAAGATAATAAAAAAGAATTATCCTTTTTGTGCGATAAATTGCATAATGAAATTCATAGAATTTCATTCAAAAACATAATTCACGAATTACAATGTCTAATTTTATAGAATATTTTCCAAAAAAAAGAGAAAGTATCCTGAAAAGGATTTAATATTGTAATGGCCAAGACAATACTGAAAACAAAAAATTCGCATGTAGCTAAAGTAAAGTTACTATACTTTAAAAGATATAAACTCAAATTCAATACTATGTAGGGATTCAAATTTGAAATTTTGATTTATAAAAGCCAAGCAATGTACTTAAAGGCTAAGAATAATGTGAACCTTGTTTTAAAACATGATATCAAACTTTCTAGCCAATTAAATTACCGGGCTACCGTAATTTGTATATTAAAATATCTAACAAGTCTGCCCAATTTTCGCTGGTGCGATTGAGTAGAATCTATTACTTCTCTTGAATTAAATGGAAGCACCTCAATTGAAGCAATACTCAAATTTTGAGTAAATGGCTAGTCAACATTGTTATTACACTTTAACCAGTATTAAATTTATGATTTCAATATAAAAGGAAAAACAAATATTTTGGTTTATACTGGTTGGTGTTGAAAATTTAACAATATAAATTAATTAGTAAATATATGTATGCATAATATCAGGGATAATTCTTTGATCAATTTCCAGTAGAAAATCATATGGAATATAAAAAATTTCTTATAAAAAAAAAATTCAAATTGAATATTAGTGATATTCAGTCGAGGCAGCTATGGTATACGCATTCATTTTTTATATGAGTTTTATAAAATTCAATTACATTAAGATTATTAGGATAAGATAGGAAGTGAACCTTTAATTTATTAATTTTAAATAAGAAGTTATTTGGTCTCAATTACTAATACAACCTGTAGTATAAGTATTGTGTCTATTGCACTAATAATATTAACTCAATGGAAATTTGGATTTCTAGAGCAATTTTCTAAAGTAATTTGCATTTCTAGAGTAATTGGCATTTTATGAATTTAATTTTCAAAATTTGTCGAAATATTATAAGTTAACTGATCAACTAAACACAGCTCAAGTACAAGTATTTTAGGGTTACATAAAAGAAGTCTACTCTTAATTTGTAAATTCAAAGCAAACCTTCTTTCAAATAATAACAAAATTTATTGAATTCTAGTTTCATATTCTGTCCATTTTTAATATAGATTTTTTTACAAAGAAGCTTTTAGCCCATATTTTTAATATATAAAAATGTACAAAAAATGTAATTCTGTGCTTACCTGGTGATAATTCTTCTGTTATCCCACGAATGGACGAAACAAAAATCATCAAAATAACAAAAAATATTTTTCCGTTCAAAGGCATCTTGCAATAATCCTTTTTGTTGTTCAGCGAGTAGTCATTTAATTTGTTTTTCATAATGCTCTTTTGTATTTTTTCTTTCTTATTTTTTGTTCTATTTGTGTACGTCTGCCTGTTTTCTATTCTGTTCACTTGTAAAAAAAAAAATTCTATTTGAAAATTATTTATTTTTCCACAAATTTTCTTTTTTTTTTTAATTTTTTTTGTAAATCCTTTATTTTTTCCCCGTTGAATTTCTTTTTTTATTCTTCTTTACCTACACTAATTCTATAATTACTTTTTTCCTTCTTTTTGCTCAATGCTTCTATAATTTGGTCTTTTTCAACTAGGAATTTTTTTTTTTTTTTTTTTTACGTTTAATAATTTAGACAAATAAGTTTTCCATTCTTGCATTCATATCTGTATGTAGGTATACATAATTACTTGTATATATAATTATAAGCGTGTTTGTATCTATGTATGCAGCACATTTATACTTGTGTATAATATTTATCCATCTCTCCCTATTTATATTGTTTTATATAAGAGCAATATATTTGCTAATTTTCTTAATAATTTTATAATATTCTTCTCCCAAAAAGAAAAAAGCTAGATCCTTTGTTTTGCTCCAGATTATAATATATTTTTCATTAGAATATAGTCATTGTTGTTGCTTACTCTTCTTGAACTATGTTGAACAATGCTTCGATATTAAATAGATGACAATGCCATTAGTTGTTATTACATAGTAACAACTAATGTAATTTAATAAAATTTCAATGACACTAAGTACCTATACAGTTTTGCAACACTAGACTACATTTTATTGTGTAAGTATGTATATAATTACATCTTCATACATCTTATAAAAAGTTAGTGCCAATGTTATAAAAAAAAAATTCCTTTGAAGATTTTATTTTCAAGAAAATTAAAAAAAGAAAAACAAAAAATTGTAAAATACTTTACGCGAACAACACTATTTGAAAAAAATCTTCAACTCTGTATTTTATTGTAAATTAAAATGGAGAAGAAATTCAATGCAAATGTCTGTTTTTCATTGCTTTTTTGTATCTAATAATATGTAGAAGCTGATGATATTCTGATGCAATCTCTGGTACCTTATGCACTTTCGTTGCTTTTCTTTCAATAAAAGTAGTAAAAGAAGCCTCTTCAATACTGATGAAATAAAGATGAAATTTGTTTTAGTTATTTTGCTAAATTCTCTTTTGAAAAGTGAATTGCAACTTAACGATTTCTTTTTTTCTTAATTTAATTTGGGTTCTATGCCTTTTTGATACATTTTCTGTTCTAAAAATTTGTCATATTATAAACAAACTGAAAGCGTAACTAAGCTGAAGATGAGAAAAAATTTTATTCACGTTGACTGCTTGCGCTATTCCTGTAAAGAAAAAAAAAAGAAAAATTAAAAAAATTATTCATGATTGTAGGAAGTTTTTTGTATTGCAATTTTTCTTTCTTTTTTGCAAATTTTGAATTGAATTTTTAATGTGTAGGAAAATAAAAGACGGCCCACTTAAAATAAATTTGAAGAAAAATACCAAAAAGGTATTTTTTTAAAATGATAAAGGTCAAGAGTTATTCCAGATATTGTGAAAATGTTTTGTGAAAAAGAGCAATTTTGAAAAATATAAAGAGAAAAATTTTAGGAGGAAAATTAAGAAAAAAAATAAATTGTTTTAGAAGAAAAAGTTTAATGGTTGAGAAAAATTTCTTATTATTGCAATTTTCAAAATATTTGAATTTTTAATGCATTGGTGTTAAAAAGCATCATGAAATTTGACTAAATTTTACTTGTCAGCGAACATTTTTGTTCCAGAAAGTGTTTCCAGAATTAGAAAATTACGTAGATGTTAACTCAATTTGCTAGGCATAATCTCGTTTGTATTATTCTCGGGGTCCAATTGAACGACAATCATGAAATACGAGTATTCTTAATTTTTTTTTAAAGTTTCCAGTTTAAAAATTATTTTAAAATATTTTTATTTTATTTTGTATGAATTGATACATAAAATTCTCTTTTATTTTCAATTTATCAATGTTAATAAATGTCAAGGGATGCCTTGGAACTCTATGTGTATAACATAATAAAAATGTTCCATTAATGTTTACGTGTATATATGCATATGTACGTACATATATCATGTGTATATATAAAATGTAATAAACGGGATAATTGGGGTGTGAGTTTTTATTTTACTAAATTTTTTTTTATTTCATTACCCTACGTATTTTTTTATTTATAGTCCCTGAAAATACATTTAGGCAAAAACTAGCCTTGTTGGTGGTACAGAGAGCGAGAACTGGTTAAAAGTGAAAAAAAAACACTCTTTTTTAATTCAATAGATTTAATCCCCATTGGTTATTAATTGAAAATTTTCCAATAACAGTAAATTTTAAGAGCTTAAAATGTTCAAAAATTGAAAAGAAAAATAAGAATCAAAACGTGGAGCAGCATAACTCATCTTCCGTTTCCTTGAACAACTATTTAATAATTTTTTTTTTTATTTTCAATTATTATTGTTTTTATCCTTTATTTCTGTTGCTAACATTATTTTTTTTAATATAAAATAAAATAAAAGAAAAACAAATAATTCCTGGTCATTACATAAATCAATTCCGGAAAATCTACGTTTGTATCTAATATATACATATATAAATACGTGAGTATGCTTTATATTTACATAAATTTCAAAAAAGAATTCAAAATATAGTAACAAAATATGTAGGTATACGTTAATTTCGAAATTATTGTGCACGGGGTATGACAAATCCTTACGAAACTAGAAAAATATGATGTTTTTAATGTGAAAGAAGAAGTAGTACGAAGTTCTGTAAGGAAAAGATGTAAAATGTGATATAAAAATAATGCAAAGGTAACGGGTTTTTTGAATACAGTCAGTGAATGGCTGTATATGAAATAGGAAATAATGTTCAAAAGAATTTTTGTAACACAAGGAGAATTATCATAACATACACACAATAATAATAATTGTTTACGCGCATCTACCCTGAATATCATCCATGTAAACATTTTCTGTTGCATAATAAGTAAATAATTAAGCAAGGTAGTAGAAAGGCACATGCTTGTGAGAGAATTTCTATTAATAATTCACACAATTGCCCGCTTTTGCTTTTCAATTAATGCAATCTCATATTTGGATACCTCTAAATATTGTGTACTTTTCGGATATTTCAACAAAATTATCAACAATTTCACTTTTAATATTGACAAGCCTAAAAGATCAAATTAGTTAGGAACTACCAATGTAATTAATCCATTAAATTAAATAATTCCAAAAATTCATGCATTATTCAAACATTACCCTATGCGTAATAAAATGACAATTATACAAGTAAATCGATTTCATTAAGCAAACTACACCCTTCACAAATCAGCTGTGAAAGTTTTAAAATAAAATCATAAAAAAACCTAGTAGCAAAAATTTCGTTTTTAGGTTTTCGTTTAGGTTTCGTTAATAGGTTTGAAATCTCTTTTAAGGAAATGTAAAGTATCACTTTAAAAAAAATTTTTTTTACTCATAACGTACACGATTTAAAAGAATAATTTGATTTTTGTTTTCTCCAAAAGCAATTTTGCAAATATAAAAATATTGCATACATTTAGGAGAAGCATTGAATGCACCAATATTCACTATGCAAAACGTTATATTTAATATCAAAATTTTACGTGAACCAATTTAAATTTAATTAATAAATGGATAATAAAATTAATAAAAAAAGTGCATACCTACTTAATTTAATTAAAATATTGATTTTATAATTTTAATATTGACTTTCCATGAATTTAGAATATTATAATTAATTCCTATATAATATAAATTGGAGCATAGAAACTTTGCATTTAAATTATGCAACATAATAAATGAAATTGAGGATTTTAAATAGAGTATATTTATTAAAAAAATTTAAGCATTTTAAAAAGTTACAATTCGTGCCCAATTTCATAATTAATGCGAAATTTTTCAATGCAACCAGAATCCAAAAATTTGCTACTCATATTGTGTTAGAATTTCCATACTTTAAAAGTCAAGTGTTGTGTTCATTTTAGTTTTTCAAGGTATTTATATCTACTTACAGTTTTCTAAGAGTTTTAAAAGAATAACCGCAAACGTTAAAATAGTGGGCATTATTCCAGCAATGGTTTGTGGCTGAATATAATGCCCACTATTTCAAATTCTCGAACTTTATACAAATTTAACAGTGAGAACAATACAAATTTAATAGTGAGAAAAATCAAGATTGTTTCACCGGTTTTCAAATCTTTTAACTTAAATTTATTGATTTTAATATATTTTTCAAATATGTATAACGTGGAAAAATCTTTTATACGTGTGAGGTTGTTTTGCACCGTTTGCTTATATTCAAAGTTAACACACCTAACGGCAAACCCATTACTTTTAAAAATTGCTTTTTCAAATAACAAGGGGGCATTCCAATATTGTTAGAATTTTACGAAACTATACGTGCTATCACTAGTTTTATATAATTGTAGGTAAATTTTATAAAATCGATCTTACATTTATGCACCCTTGTTAATAATAGAATGGTTTTGTCAAACTTTTATATACTGTTTGATTAATAATTTATTTGCATGATCCAAGAAAAATATTTGATAAAAGAGAGCGCCTTGTTTTCGGTTTCATAATTCACTAACGTTTTGTAAAATTAAAAAATATAAAATTGAAACTATGACTACAATTTTAGAATTTTTCCAAAGCTAGAATACGTTTGTTTCATGGGATTAAAATTTTTCTATGAAATACATTTTTTCTTTTAAATTCATTCAAGGATAATGATGAAAAAAAAAATACAAAAAAAAAAAAAAAAAAAAAACACAAAATTGCTCGAAATCTCTCATGGGAAATTTATTTACACAATTTCCAAGAAAGAGAAAAAATTAAAATAGAAAAATAAAGTAAATACAATAAAAATATCAATAAATTATTGAATTGACTGTTAAATATAACACGTTAACTACGAAATGATTTTCCCGTACGCCCTGCTTCCTCTTATTAATTTTTTTAATTTTGTATTACAGTTATACCAATACAATAATTGTTTGGATTTTTATTTTTCTACACGATCTCTGCATAAACTGGCCATGGCGAACGACACTACATGGTTTTGCGCAGAGGGACTTCATAACGGAAATTAAGGCAAAAAAGAAAAATCGATTTAATTTGATTATTTCACAATTTTAATTTTTATTTCATTTTTATTCTATTAAAGCTGTTAAGATTTATTAAGTTTTTTTTTTTGATATTTTTTTCATATGGTTTTTTACAGTTATTTAATAATTTTATTTAAAAAAATTATTGACTGCTCGTCGGTTTAATAATTATATTCCTTACGTTAGGAACCTGCAAAGATTGTAAATTTAAAATATAACGGCTTTACATAAACGAAATATGACGCCATATAGAGCTTAAACTGCGCTGTGTTTATTTTGCAAATCAATTTTATTCATAAATATTTCTGAATTATCAGCAATATAGTGAAGCTGTTATGAGAACTTAATTTTAACTTAGTCTTTTTAATAGAACTTAATAGAACGGTTTTGCTATTGTAAAATTGCCAAAAGCATACTGCGGTTATTGTTTTGCTATTTTGCGTTTATGAAAATTTCTATACAATTTTGATTTTACATTTAGAATATAGAGGGTGATTCAGAAAAGTATACAATAACCTATACCTAGATAGGAACTTCAAACAAACAATTTCAGAAAGGCCTCGTAAAGGACTTGAAATAGACATGCTGCTTAATTCTGTATTTTATGTACCTTCGGAATACCAAGCACTTTAGGGAAATTTAGGGAACTTTAGGGAAAATCAAATTTTTCCCTTATTTTATTTTTTAAGTTTTTTCTAACTAGATAATTTGGTAAGAATTTTTTTAAAACCTTGAACTTTTTTTAAAGAATTTTTCCCAGCTGTTTAAGCTTTACTTTAAGTCTACTATTTCTTTATCAAAAAATTTAGAAAAATAGGAATTCCTTATTCAAAAAATTTACAAATTTGTCAAAACAAACGCCAAATTCTCCTATGAAATTAATGTTTTTCTTCAATATTTCAAATGAATTACTTTACTGAAATTACTTTTTACTTGAATTAAAAGCATATATACCAATTTTGGAATATGTTGAAAATTTATTAATCCCATTAAATTATTAATTAATTATTTATTAGCTTCATAATGTTCACTTACAAACTCCATTTTGTTCAAAAATATTAAATTTTTCTAGAAAAAATTTTTTTCTGTTCAAAAAAATGTCAAAATTTATATGGCATGTCTTTAAAAATTCGCTCCAGCTGAATAATTTTAATAATTTCAGATGCCAAATGGTGTCTAGATTCCGA